TTCCATGCTGCTGTCCGTTTCCCCGGTGGGCTCCACACCAGCACGGTGACCACTTGAAGGCTGCAGGAGCTCTTTCCGATGCATTTTATATATTTTTAGAAACCAAATCACTGCAGATGAGTATTTAGTATACTAATTATATAAACCAGCAGAACTTTAAAGGCAATAAAGTATATGCATATATATGGGGAGGAGGGAGAGTAAAGTTGGAGGTTTACAGCCGGGCATGGAGATCGCCTTAAATGAATCTCAGTGTTTTTCTTCACTGGTCTAGAAGGATTTGAGTTGCTGCAGCTTTACACAGAAAATGGCCACGCTCACTAATCGTGGACCATAAAATATGCTTTGAGTATTGCTTTGCTTATGTATAAATAACAAATGTAATATGTATCATATGTAATTATGCTCTTTTGACTTTCATTTCAAAATGTATATTTTCTGATTACTATCATGAGCTGTAAAACAAAAGATCAATATCTGATATTTCCCAAATAATAAATTTTCAGGATTCATTTGGGGCAGTATAATTGTTGGTTTGTTTCTTATATACTTAATATTTTAAGGTACAAGTTTATTTCCTTTGAAAGATACCAAAGAAAGTAGGTCTTGAGATCAGTGATTCAAAATTACATCCTTCTAAATGGAATGGTAACTCATACCTGAAGAATTGTCTAGTGCTCAGGGAGCACCTGCCGGGCTGGGGAGATGGCTCGGTGGTTGAGAGTATACCCTCTGCTGTTCCAGAGGACCCAGGTTCGGTTCCCAGCACCCACATCGAGCAGCTCTCTTCCTTATCCAGGGATTTGATGCCCTCTTCTGGGCACCTGAACTGATGTGCACATAGCCATACACATGAAGAAACAACAACAAAAACAAGCCAGCTCTGGTGGCATACACTGTAACCCTAGTGCTGGGAACTGGCGACAAGTGGCTCTCTTGGGCTCACTGGCCAGCCTTGCTCAAACAGCAAGCTCACAAGTTCGATGTGCACATAGCCATACACATGAAGAAACAACAACAAAAACAAGCCAGCTGTAACCCTAGTGCTGGGAACTGGCGACAAGTGGCTCTCTCGGGCTCACTGGCCAGCCTTGCTCAAACAGCAAGCTCACAAGTTTGAGAGACCCTATTTCAAATACAAGGTGCAGAGTGGCAAAGGTCCCTGAAGTCCACCTCTGGCTTCCACATATGCATGCGCAGGTACACACACAAGCATACACATACACACTAAAGGTAGCTGTTTCACCTAAGTAGAACTTAAGGAACCAGTGTTCCTCCTTTTTCCAATGTGAACTAATTTTTTTTGTGTTTTGGAAACAGGATCTCCCCTGTAACCCCAGCTGGCCTGGAACTTGCTACATAGACCAGGCTGGCCTTGAACTCACAGAGCTCTGCCTACCAAGAAAACAAATTTTAATCAAGAATTCTATTTTCTAGTTTGGGGGCTTTAAGACTTTAAGTGATCCATTCTGTCTCCCTCTAAAGTCATGTTGGGACTGGAGCGATGACTCAGCGGTTAAGAGCACTGGCTGCTGGGTTCGATTCCCAGCACCCATATGGTGGCTAACAACCGTCTGTAACT